TTTCAGAACTGAGGAAGGGTCACCGGACCCAAAACGTTAACTCTGTTTTTTCCTTCACAGATGCTGCCAGAACCTGCTGAGCTTTTCCAGCAACTTTGTTTTTGTTCCTGATTTACAGCATCCACAGTTCTTTCAGTTTTCATCACTTACTCAACTGTGCTTTCTCTCCATGGCTCTGCAAAATTTTCCTTTTCCAAGTATTTATTCGACTTTCTTTTGAAAGAATGGTGGAAACACATTCGATAATATCAGTCCATAATATCACTCCATAATATAATAATAATTGTTTGTAGTGATTGATATAGGCTTGTGCAATGGTCAGTGTAGGATTTATGCATGGTCAGTCCTGGCTGAGGAATACCAACCTTACTGCGCAGAGCAGTTATTTCTTCTCTGAGAAGACCGATGCACTGGTGAAGCTGTTGGTTTTCAGACATCTCGTGTTCCAACAGGATTTGATCACTGCTCTGCAGTGCAATTAAAGTTGCCACCTGTTAAAGCAAAAGATTCATTCAGTAGAAACATTTGGAGGAAGCTAAGAATAATGCTCCTTCAGTATCAATTCAAAAGGTCAGCTTAGATCAGTATAGCAGCTCTCCTATCCAATATACCCTCAGTATCCTCAATGTCAGTACTGGGGGAGTGCAGCTTCATCAGTTTTGCACTGTTGGATGGCACTGAAAGAATGCAGAACTGTTAGAGGGTCAACAATGAATTTTGCAGTTTTCTATATGCTCGTCCAAGCAACATACCACAGAGAATCCGTTTTATAATGAGTCAGATATCTAGAAGTTTATTAACTATTTAATAAGAGTGTGCATATGTCATCTCAGGCACAAATACATAGTCTGAGTTCTATACTAACCTAGATTACAAATACATTATACACATAATTAACTGGCTGGCTGTTTGTTTAACTGACCGACCGTTGAATGAATGAACAGAGAGTAAGGTGGAGATCTCTTCTATTAGACCATCACAAGTTGTGCTGTCATCTAGAGAACGTAGCTCTCTGAGGACCCCCTGATGAGAATTCCCCTTTGAGAAATCCCTGAAGAGAACACCCCTCTTTCAAGCACCTACTGTATTTCTATGAATGGGAGCTTATGCCATGTCAATCAATTCTCTGAATTCGATGAGACATCGGATGATTATTTTGCCCCGCCCACCTCCTTTTGAAGTTTTGTTTCATTCTAAGAACAAAACCACCTTTTTCTTCAGAAATAATACACTGATAATAGAGAGCATTTGAGCCAGATAAATTGTTGATGCTAATTCAGTGTACATCACGACCTCTGTGTTCTTGTGATTCTTTCCTTTTGCTTTTATATGCTCAAATTTTGGAAATTTAATCACTGTTGTAATAGCTGTTAAATGAAATCTCGTGCTGCACAGTAAATACTAGGAAAATTCAGTTTTTAAGGAGCCCCAATTTCCAACAATCCTAGGGAGCTGTGTTGAATACGGAAAATGCTGGAGTCCATTAGCAAGGATTTTATAGCACAGCACTTCAAAAACAGCGGTAGAATCAGACACAGAGCGCATGGATTTACAAAAATCTATTGGAATTCTTCAAGGATTTAACTGGTAGAGTTGATCAGGGAAGCCAGTGGATGCGCTTATTTGGACTTTCAGAAGGTTGTTGACAAAGTCCCACATTAATGGGTAAAGTTAAAGTGCCTGAGATTGAGGGGATTGTGTATTGAAATGGATAGAAGATTATTTTGCAAACAGAACCAAAGAGTGGGAATAAATAGGTCTTTTTCTGAATGGTAGCCAGTGACTAGTGGAATTCCACAAGAAACAGTACCAGGACCTCAGCTATTCATAATATATGTTAATGATTCAACTGGGGCAACTAAATGTAATACTCTCAAACTTTGCAGATGACACAAAACTGGATGGAAGGGTGAGGACGATAAGGAGATATTGCCATGTAATTTGGACAGACTGAGTAAATGGTCAAATGCATGGCCGATTTAGTTTAATGTGGATAAATACATCACATGCATTGGCATTATTCATCTGAAATGTCACATAGAATCACAGAAGATGGAAGCAGAAGTAGGCCATTCGACCTCTTGAGTCTGGTCAGTCATCATCATAATGAAAGGAAGAGCATTGAGCTCAATACCCTAATCCTGCCCTCGCCCATATCCCTTGAAACATTTAGCCACCTGAGCTATGTCTACCTCCTTCTCGAAAGCACAACATTTTTTGGCCTCAACCACTTTCTGCGCAAGTGAATTCCACAGGTTCACACTCTCTGGGTGAAGTAATTTCTCCTCATCTCAGTGCTAAAAAGTTTACCCTTTCTCCTTAATCTACTGGTGCCCCTCCACCCTCCCCCAATCAGGACCATCCATCCTGCATCTACCTTGTCTAGTCTTGTTAGAATTTTATAGGCTTATATGAGATCCCCCCTTCATGCTTCTAAACTCTAGTGAATATAACCTAACTGACTCAATCTCTCCTTATCTGTCAGTCTTGCCATCCCAGGAATCAATTTGGTAAACCTTCACTGTACTTTCTCCATAGCAAGAACGTCCTTCCTCAGGTGAGACCAAAACTACACACAATATCCCAGGTGTGGCCTTTCCAATACCCTGTATAATTACAGCAAGACATCCTTGTTCCCATATTCAAATCCTTTTGCTCTGAAGGCCAATATACAGTTTGCCTTCTTTACTGCCTGCTGCTCCTGCACACTAACTTTCAGTGACCAGTGCACAAGGGCACTCACATCTCTTGAATATTCCCCTCCCAACCAAATAATAATTTGCCTCCCTATTTTTGCAACCAAAATGAATAACCTTAAAAACCTCTGAAATATAAACCAGGAAGTGAAATGGTTCTGGCGGATATCTTATCCCAGCTGTTGCTACTGGAGAAGCATATGGTAAAAGAACTAGGTATAAAGATCCATCACCGAGTGTTGAAACTAGTCAAATTAGGGATGAGACCAGCAAAACAAGGAGGTACAAATGTTCTCTCAGCAAGTGTTGCAAGGATGGAACTATCTAGCTAACACACTACTTACCTGGTACCCTACCCCCCTACCCATGTGGCACCCTACCCTCCGAGCACCCTTTCATCATACCTGAATTATGTACTAACCTTTTTGGCAGCGGCTGTTAAAGTGGCTGTCAGGGTCTTTTAATCTCAGAATATGGCAGTTGCTGCTGTGAAAATTGGTACAGTCCCTGACAGTTCTGAGTTAGAAAAGAACTCTCAGAATGGAAATACAACTCTGCATTTTTGAGAGTGAGCTGGGTGGAATTTCCTCTCAGAAATGCAGAGCTCCCTACTTTCGAAAATTTGCCACTCCTCAGAAAGTCTGGCCCAAGGTGCCTAGGAATGGTTCCATCAGACTCTAAAGTGACACATTGAACTCCTCTAGTCAAGAAGAGAGGTAGACAGAAGACAGGAAATTACAGCCAATTAATGAATAAATGAATGATTTTTATTATCATGTGTATTTTACAGTAAGAAAAACAGTTAAATAAAGTGAAAAGCTTTTCCACGGTCATCATGATCCGGCACCATTTTGAACAGTTTAAGAATAAGAAAAAAAGAAAGATATAGCTTAAAGCGAGCCCCTCAGCCCTGAGCCAACTCATCATCAACGACACCTTCAGCACCATCTACAATGGACCCAATCAATGTTGACGTCTTCAGGCGCCATCTTTTGTCTCTGGGCTGATTCTCCTGTGCCACTGCCTCGCTGTGATCTACTCCACACCCACCAATTCAAAGTCACATCTCTTGCCACTGGGCCCGTCTCGTTGATGTTGCCATGGTGCCCTTCCACCACTGCTGGACCCAACCAATATTGAAGTTACTTTAGGCACCATCTTTCATCACTGGGCCTACCTCACCAACATCGCCTCCGTTGCTGTAGCAGCCACTGATTCCAGATGCCAGGTCTGGTGCTCACCCCAGAAAAGTAAGTAAGGACTCACTCACTCTCTCCACGAGGTCCGTGCTGGTCTCACTCTGGTCCACGCTGGGCCCAATCACTGCTGCCAATGCTGTCCAAGCTCAGGGCAAGAGGCAAGTACAGGATAAGAGAAGAAAGGGAAAGTGGATGAGCCCTAGAAGCCCTACTTCATTGCCATCTTTTTGTGTCATGGCGAAGGTGTTAGAAACAATCATTAAGGAACTTATAGCTGGGCAAGTATAAAACCTCAATGTATTTGCGATCAATCAGCATTGAATTCTGAAAGGGAACCTAATTAAATAAGTTCTTTGAAAGACTAACATGCACTGTGGGTAAGGGGAACCTATATATGTTCTGTACCTGGATTTCCAGAAAGCATTTCGCAAGATGCCTCATAAAAGGTTATTGTGCAAAATGGGAACTTGAGGAGGAGGAGAAACATATTGCACAAGCAGAAGATTGGATAGATGGTGAAAAACAGAGAGTACGTCTAAACAAACCCTTTTCTGATTGGCGAGATGTGATGAGTAGGGTCCTTTGGGATCTGTGCTGGAGTCTCAACTTTTTAAAATAACTTAGGTGTGCAGAATGAAGTCAAAAAAGCTACATTTTTAGATGACACAAAGATAGGTAGAAAAATAATGTGTGAAGATAACGTCAGAAGGTTGCAGGTGCATATCGAACATGGAGAAAAATATAGGGGCAAAAAGCTGGCAGATGGAGTATAATGTTTAAAATGTGAAATTGTTTATTTTAGCAGAAAGACTTTTTTAAAAGCAGAGAATTTCATAAATTGATTATGACTGCAGAATTCTAAGGTGCAGAGGGATCTAAGTATTCTAGTGCATGAGTGACATTGAGTTAGTATGCAGATACAGCAAGTAATTAAGAAGGCTAATAGAATGCTATCCTTTACTATGAGAGGAACCTGAATAAAAAGTGAGGATGTTATGCTTCAGTTACATAGGACATTGCTGAGACGGTGTATCTAATGCCATGTGCAGTTCAGGTGCACATGTATTGGAGGAAGTTCAAAGAAGTTGACGAGACTTTTTAGCTGGAGTGAGTGGGTTTCCTATGAGGGAAGTTTGGACAAACTGGGATTGTTTTCAGTGTAAAAGAATGAGGGGTTATGTGATTAAGTTGTATAAGATCTTGAATGGTCCAGAATCCTCAACCTCACTTCCTATCGTCACTGTGGCTGTACCCCCACCTTGTAGACTGCAGCAGTTCAAGAAGGCAGCTCAACACCACCTCCTCCTGGACAATTAGTGTTGAGCAATGAATTCTGACCTCGCCAGTGACACCATCATCCTGAGAGAGAATTAAAAGAATGCCTCAAAAGACTAAATTAGAATAACAACAGTATTTGTGCAGACAAGATGGTGGCAGAGTGAGATGCTACAGCCAGACCTCCTCTGCTCTGCTCATCCTTTTCCCTTTTTCTCTCTTTCTTTTTGTTTTCATAGTTTTAACTTTTACTTACCAGAGGTGAATGGTGGAAACCAGTGGGAGTTGGCATTGGGCCAGTGATTCCTGGAGGCGAGGCCCAGTGTAGGCCAATGTGGGGGCAACAAGTCCAGGAGAGTCCCAGGGACAAGTGGAGTGGAGGCCAGCGGGGGGCAGCAGCAAGTCCCTTGGGGACTGCAAGCGAGGCCTCCAGGATTAATTATTTTTTTAACAGGCCCTTCAGCCCAACAAGTCCACACCGACCCTCGGAGCATCCTGCCCAGACCCATCCCCCTATAACACTAAAAGAGGCGGCGGAGTGGCATTGCTAGTCAGGGCTAGTATAGCAGCTACTGAAAGGCAGTTCAAGAATGATATGTCTACAGAGTCAGTTTGGGTTGAGGTCAGGAACCAGAAAGGAGCAGTCCCTTTGTTGGGGGCTTTTTACAGACCCCCTAATAGTTGCAGAGAAGTGGAGGAGCAGATTGGGAGGCAGATACTGGAAAGGTGCAGAAGTCACAGGGTTGTAGTCATGGGTGACTTCAACTTTCCAAATATTGATTGGAAACTTTTTAGTTGTAATAGTTTAGATGGAGCGGATTTTGTCCAGTGCATTCAGGAAGGATTCCTGACACAGTATGTAGATAGACCAACACAAGGAGTGGTGCTTGGCAATGAACCGGGCCAAGTGTTAGACCTGTTAGTAGGAGAGCATTTTGGCGGTAGCGATCGTAACTCTGTTACTTTTACAAAAGTCATGGAAAAGGATAGGTACATACAGCAGGGTAAGGTTCATAATTGGGGGAAGGGTAATTACAATTCTGTTAGGCAAGAACTGGGTACATAAAATTGGAACAGATGCTGTCAGGGAAGAGCACTATTGAAATGTGGAGATTGTTCAAGGAACGCATACTGCGTGTGCTCGATATGTTTGTCCCTAGCAGGCAGGGAAGATGCGGTCAAGCAAGGGAGCCTTGGTTCTCAAGAGAAGTCGAATGACTGGTTAAGAGGAAGAAGGATGCTTATATAAAGTTTAGGAAACAAGGATCGGAAAAGGCTCTAGAGGGACACAAGTTAGCCAGGAAGGAGCTGAAGAAAGGGATTAGGAGAGCTATAAGGGGGCATGAGAAAACCTTGGCAGATAGGATCAAGGAAAACTCCAAGGCTTTTTACACGTATGTGAGGAATAAGAGAATGACCAGACAAAGGGTAGGGCCGATCAAGGATTGTAAAGGGAATTTGTGCATGGAACCTAAAGAGATAGGAGAGGTCCTTAATGAATACTTTTCTTCGGTATTCACAACTGAGAGGGACCTAGTTGTAGAGGAGGACAGTGTGAAACAGGCTGGTAGGCTAGAGGAGGTCAATGTTAGTAAGGAAGATGTACTAGGAATTTTGAGGAACTTGAAGATAGATAAGTCCCCCAGGCCTGATGGGATTTATCCAAAGATTCTATGGGAAGCGAGGGAAAGATCGCAGAGCCTTTGGCGATGATCTTTTTGTCCTCACTGTCCATGGGTATAGTGCCGGAAGATTGGAGAGAGGCAAACGTCATTCCCTTGTTCAAAAAAGGGAATAGGGATAACCACGAAAATTACAGGCCGGTTAGTCTTACGTCAGTGGTGGGCAAATTATTGGAAAGGGCTCTGAGAGATAGGATTTACGATCACTTGGATAGGCACAGTTTGATTCATGATAGCATGGATTTGTGAGGGGTAGATCATGCCTGACAAACCTTGTTGAATTCTTTGAAGAGGTGACCAAACACGTGGATGAAGGTACAGCAGTGGATGTGGTATACATGGATTTAAGTAAGGCGTTTGATAAAGTTCCCCAGGGTAGGCTCATGCAGAAAGTAAGGAGGCATGGGATAAGGGGAAATGTGGCAGATTGGGTTCAGAATTGGCTGACCCTTAGAAGACAAAGGGTGGTAGTGGACGGAAAATGTTCAACATGATGCTCAGTTACGAGTGGTGTACCACAAGGATCTGTTCTGGGTCCTCTTCTATTTATGATTTTTGTAAATGATTTGGATGTAGGAGTGGAAGGGTGGATTAGTAAGTTTGCAGACAATACAAAGGTGGGTCGAATTGTGGTAGTGCGGAGGGCTGTTCTAGGTTACAAAGGGACATTGATAGGATGCAGAGCTGGGCTGAGGAGTGGCAGTTGGAGTTTAACCCTGAAAAGTGTGAGGTGATTCATTTTAGAAGGACAAACTTGAAAGCAGAATACAGGGTTAACAGAAAGAGGAGTGGAGGAGCAGTGTGGAGGAGTAGAGGGATCTTGGGATTCATGGCCACAGTTCCCTGAAAGCTGCCACCCAGGTGGATAGAGTTGTTAAGAAGGCGTATGGTGTGCTAGCTTTCATTAATAGAGGGATTGAGTTCAAGAGCCATGAAGTTATGCTCCAGCTATACAAAACCTTGGTTCAGCGACATCTGGAGTATTATGTCCAGTTCTGGTTGCCTCACTACAGGAATGATGTGGAAGTGTTGGAAAAGGTGCAAAGGAGATTTACCAGGATGTTGCCTGGAATAGAGGGAAGGTCTCACGAGGAAAGGTTGAGAGAGCTAGGGCTTTTCTCTTTAGGATGACGAAGGATGAGAGGTGAACAAAATGATCAGAGGTATAGATACAGTGGACAGCCAGAGACTTTTTCCTAGGGTGAAGGTAGCTATTACGAGGGGGCATAGTTTTAAAGTGAGTGGAGGTAGATATAGGGGAGACATCAGAGATAGGTTCTTTACTCAGAGAGTGGTCGGGGCGTGGAATGCAATTGCCGGAGAGGGTAGTGGAGTCGGCCTCATTAGAGGCAATTAAATAGGCATATGGTAAGGGTGGAGGTTAGATAGACCTTAAGTTTAGCACAACATCATGGGCTGAAGGGCCTGTACTGTTCTACGTAACCCACCTAATGTACACATCCTGAACAAGGCAATTTAGCATGGCCAATCCACCTAGCCTGCACATCTTTGGACTGTGGGAGGAAACCTGAGCACCCGGAGGAAACCCACATATTCCCTGGGAGAATGTGCAAGCTACACGCAGACAGTCACCCAAGGCTGGAATTGAACCCAGGTCCCTTGTGCTGTGAGGCAGCAGAGCTAACCACTGAGCCACCATGATTAATGCTCCTATACACTTGGCTCAGTGGTCTGAAAGCTGGCACAGACTAAAGTGTGAGTACTTTTTAAAAGAAAATTTCTTTTTCCTGTATCCTTATGCTGAACTTTTATTTATGATTCTCCCAAGTCTGTAACAAATATTCAAGTATCCTGTACCTAGGTATCTTGTACCTAAGATGGTGGTGAGAGGCGATAATATAAACTTTTCACTCGAGTGCACATGACAATAAAGGCTAATTTTGTAATTCTGTAATTTTTAATATGAATTAAGGAATGACAATTAGTTATTCAGTGGGTGATTTAAGTCCAGCTGAGGACCTCCAAATGGCCATAATTTGATTCATACTGTTACTTCAGTGTCTGTCAGTTTCCTGTTGAGTCAATGAATGGCATTGTGCTTCGAACTACAGCACATGGATCGCAGCAATTCAAGAAGGCAGCTCACCACAATCTTCTCAAACAAGTGGAAATGGGCAATAAATACTAATCCAATCAGTGACACCCACATCCAAAGAGTGAATATAGAAACAAATTCCCTTAGCAGAAGGGTGTCTTTGATTCATGTCAAAATTGAGAAAAGTTATCCACATATTCATATATGCTCACACTTATGTTCCTTCACTCTTTTGTTCACACATTCACAATGTAACCATGCTTAAGTGAAAACCTTCAGCCAATGAGGAGGAAAAATACATATCTGTGGCTGCATCTTCCTCTGATTCAGTCTGTTTATCTTCAAGCTGCTAATGGACAGTGTTGCAAGCTGTCACTCTAGGCTATCTAGCAGGCAAGTGGGACTAGTTTAGTTTGGGAGTATGGTTGGTGCGTACTACTTGGACTGAAGAGTCTGTTTCTGTGCTCTATGACTCTATGTCCAGGGACCATCAAAGCACAGTATATAGGGCAACTTGATTCCTCAAACTCTACAGACTATTCTCTCCCCTCACAGCTCGGTGTGGATCCCCTCCCCTCACAGCTCGGTGTGGACCCTCTCCCCTCACAGCTCGGTGTGGACCCTCTCCCCTTCACAGCTCGGTGTGGACCCTCTCCCCTCACAGCTCGGTGTGGACCCTCTCCCCTTCACAGCTCGGTGTGGACCCTCACAGCTCGGTGTGGTCCCTCTCCCTTCACAGTTCAGTGTTGCTTTATTAATGATTAGCTCTGCAAATTTGCCTGAACTTGGAATGCTAAACGGCCTCCTCCTGTTAGTAGTGGTTTTATTGTATTAAAAATTGATAAGATTACTAGGTTAAAAAAATGTTTGAGCATACATTTTGGTCATAAACCTGCGCCATGCTCTCCTGAAACATCTTCTGTTCAAATTCACTTGTCTCCTTCAACAATTCCAGCACGTTTTTCAAAGCTGCTTCATCGTAACCTCTTCCAACTCGGTCATCAAACTGCTGCACCAAAACCTTTGACCTTTCAATTCTTTTACTCATGAATTGTAAATCCTGTGGGGAACAATGTTGAGAGTATAAAGCTGTGATCATTTAGACTGCCTTTTCATTACTATTGCATTACCATCGTGCATTTCACAGCCTCATGACTTCCCAAAGCTCTTTACAGCCAATTAAATACTTTTGAAGTATAGTTACTGTTGTAATTTTGGAAACCTGGCAATCCATTTCTGCAAGTAAGATCCCACAAAGTACAATGGAATGATGAGCAGTTATCTGTTTCAGTGATACTGATTGAAGCTTTGTCCAGGATGCCAGGGACAACTCTACTTCTTTGCTTTAAGCATGGCCAAGGGATCATCTACATCCATACGAGAAAGCAAACTGGATTCTCTGTTTGGCTTCTTATCCAAAAGAATAGCATCTCTAGCAGTGCAGCACTCCCTCAATACTGCTTTGAATTGTTAGCCTCGATTGTTATGCATTCAAGTTGGACATGAAGCTTCACATTTCAGCCCCATTGAGTCACAGTCTGGTGCAATGTACTGCAATCACAACTCTGGGTTTAACATTGTGAACCATCCTCAGACAAAGTCAGGAGCCACACGACACAGGTTATAGCCCAACAGGTTTATTTGAAATCACAAGCTTTCGGAGCACAGCCCCTTTATCAGGTGCAGTGAGAGAGAAGAGCACAGAGACAGAGAGTTTATAGGCAGAGAGATCAAAAGATCACACAAGTGGTGTGAATGCAATGTCAGATAATAAGTCTCTGTGGGTGACCAAGAGTGTTAGACGATGTGTAAAGTATCAACAGCTGAATAACAAGCGAAGGGATGATCTATAATCTGATTAATTGAGGCAGAGAGATAATTACAAAAAATTAAAAATAAGGTGGTGCTGGAGACAAACTAAATGATTGGAACCACACACCAAATTCAAAACTGTACAAACTAATTAAAGTAAAGAGATCATAACAATTTATCAAGGTGATGCTGTCAAAACAGGACAGTAAGGAAGATTTTACAGATACAGAACAGAGTGGTCGGGTCACCTGTATGCATATTGGGGTGCAAATTTGGTCCCCGAGCTTCTGTTGCAACACTACAGATTTCTTACAGAAACTCAGCACCGGTCGAACCAGGAACTTTCCTCGTCAGAATGGACGTTTTGGCTCTCCGCACCAGCAAGCCCCACAATGACGGCATCGCTGCAACAGCCTTAGTACTCAATACCAACAACTGCCAATTTCCAGATGCCATCCTATAACTCATCTGCTTCATCCTCGACCACAAGATCTTCACCTTCAACAACCAGTTCTTCATCCAGACACATGGAACAGCCACGGGGACCAAAATTGCACCCCAATATGCAACATTTTCATGCACAAGTTCAAGCAAGACTTTGCTGCGCAGGACTTCTGACCAATGCTAAACACCAGATCCATCAATGACATTTTCTTCCTTTGGATTCATGACGAGGAATCACTGAAATGACTACATAGCAATATCAACAAGTTTCATCTTACTGTCAGACTTACCATGGACTATTCCTCAGAATCAGTTTCATTCTTGGACACACGCATCTCCATCAAGGACAGACACCTCAGTACCTCACTCTACCGCAAGGCCACAGATAACCTCATGATGCTACAGTTATCTAACTTCCGCAGTAAACATATTAAAAAAGCCATCCCCTACAGACAAGACCTGTACATACACAGAATCTGCCAGATGAGGAAGATTGCAACATACACTCAAAGATTTTGAAGGATGTCCTCACAAGAACGGGATACAATGCTCAACTCACGATTGCCAGTTCTGACATGCCACAGTGAAAAACCGTGGTGACTTCCCAGAGATTGGACACAGGGTATGACTGATAGACTACCCCTCATTGTCCAATACTTCCCGGAGCGGAGAAACTACACCATGTTCTTCACAGCCTTCAACAACCTCCAAACCTTAGACAGACCACGTTCATAGCAAACTACCCAGCCTTCAGGACAACATCGCCCTCAACACCACACAACCCTGCCATGGCAACCTCAGCATTACATGTCAGATCATTGACATGGACACTACCATCACACGTGGGAACAACACCCATCATGTACACAGCAGATACTCATGTGATTCAGCCAATGTTGTCTATCTCATTCACTGCAGGCAAGGATGCCCTGATGCATGGTATATTGGTGAGACCATGCAGACTCTACGACAACAGATGAATGGGCAACACGCAACAATCGCCAGGCAAGAATGTTCCCTCCCAGTGGGGGAACACTTCAGCAGTCAAGGACATTCAGCCTCCAATCTTTAGGTAAGTGTCCTCCAAGGCGGCCTTCAAGATACACAACGCAGAATCACTGAGCAGAAACTGAAGCCAAGTTCTGAACCCATGAAGACAGCCTCAACCGTGATCTTGGGTTCATGTCACACTCCATGTGACCCACCACACTGTTCTATATCTGTAAAATCTACCTTAACTAGTTTGTACAGTTTTGAATTTGGCATGTGATTCCAATCATTCAGTTTGTCTCCAGCACCACCTTATTTTTAATTTTTTGTTATTATCTCTCTGCCTCAATTAATCAGATTATAGGTCATCCCTTCACTGGTTATTCAACTGTTGACACTTTACACACTGTCTAACATTCTTGGTCACCTGCAGAGACTTATTATCTGACATTGCACTTACACCATTTGTATGATCTTTTAATCTCTCTGCCCTTGATCTCTCTGCCTATAAACTCTGTGTCTGTATGCCCTGCTCTCTCACTGCACCTGACAAAGGGGCTGCACTCCAAAAGCTTGTGTGATTCCAAATAAACCTGTTGGACTGTAACCTCATGTCGTGGTACTTCTGACTTTGTCCACCCCAGTCTAACACTGGCACCTCCACATCATAAAAAAGTTTGGTGGGTGTGGAACTAAAGCCTTCAGTACAGGAAGGTAGAACACTGGGAAGTGTGACAGATGGATGATAAACTCTGAAGCCATCTCCTGCACTGCCGTCACTTACCTTGCTCTGCTGCTCACTCTGTAGCTCCAGCTGCTGATTCAGGTGTTGTATTTGTTTGCACAGCCTGACTTTCTGAGCTGCTTCTTCTTTGCACCTTTCTCAAGAGAATATTACACAATAGTTATACACCTTTTCTCAATAAAGATTCATTGAGGCATGAAGAGAATGCTTTATAGGAGCTTTCACAAACTGCTTACAACATCAATTGGCTCCACATCTCCTGAACTGAATGTTCCTCAGAGAGCAGTGTTGGGGTGGGATAGTACATTGTTCATATGGTGCTGAGGCTGAATCATATGACATAGATATAGATAACTTGTCATGTAACCTATAGATTATAAGATCGTAAGAAAAAGGAGCAGGAGTAGGCTATTTGGCCCATCAAGCTTCCTCCTTCATTTCAGTAAATCATGGCTGATTTGACTTCATTTTCATGGCATTTTCAGGCATTTTCCTGCCTCACCACATGACATTTTCCTCCCTTGCTGATCAAAGATCTGTCAAACACAGGCTTGAATATATTCAAAGATCCAACTTCTACTGCTGTCTGTGGAAAAGAATTTAAAATACTAGTGAATATCTCAGTGAAAAAATCCTACTCATCTCCATCTAAATTGGGAGACCTCTTAGTTTTATACTGAGCTCACAGATTCTAGACCCTGTGCAAAAGAAAACATCCTCCCAGCCTCTATCCTGCTGAGCCCCCACGTGTTTCAATAAAATCACTGCACATTCTTCTAAACTCCATTAAAGAGAAGCTCAAGCTACTCAGCCTTCTCTCAACTTCTCTGAACTACCTCTAATTTTGTTTTATTCATTCATGGGATGAGAGTGTCACTGGCCAGGCCAGCATTTATTGTCCATCTCTAATTACCAGTTAAGTGTTAACCACATTGCTGTGGGTCTGGAGTCACATGTAGGCCAGACCAGGTAAGGATGGCAGTTTCCCTCCCTAAAGGACATTAGTGACTCAGATGGGTTTTCCAGTAATTGGCAACAGATTCACAGTCATCATTAGACTTTTAATTCCAAATTTTTATTGAATTCAAATTCCACCACCATCTGCCATGGCAGAAATCGAACGCAGGTCCCCAGAACATTAGCTGGGTTTCTGGATTAACAGTTCAGCAATAATACAACCATCATCTCCCAAACTACTTCATGCATTCTCAAGGCTGAAGGGGATGAATAACTGGAGCTTTGCTAACATGCCCACATCCCAAACAAGAAGGAAGCAGGTGGATGGTATGTTGATGAAGGTGAAATTGGGACCCACCATATTCTGAAATGCCCTCCATATTAACTGGCTTACTCAGATCGGTGCATTTGTGGTGCAATCCTTTCTGATCTGATCTGCCAGTCCTGGAACTCAATTTCTGGATAGTTATTGGATTAGGCAGAAGGCTGAGGTATCTTCGAGGTGATATCTGGGTGTTCAGGATAGGCTAATACCGCATCTAATCTGTTTTACTGACCCAAATAATACATCAAGTAAAACAGTGGTATTTACATTGTTTGTAGCTCAGTCAAGGTAGTCTTTACATCTTGCACTTCAAGCCAAGTTGACATTAACTGTTTTGAAGGCATTGTCACAGGATGATGCGCAGACAGGAGCTCAGCGTGTCTGTCAGCAATCAGTTCTTTCAGTCTCCGGATCTCCTGTTTTTTTCTCTCAATTTCTCTGTTCAGTGCGATGACCCTGCCAATGACAATGGGAATTATCAGAGATGCGGTAGGAATAGACAGCAGAATCAATATAATCATTATTTTATATCTCTAACCCTGTCTAAATGTCCCCAAGTCTAGGTTTCTCTAAGGTCTACAGACACATTCTACATGGATAACCAGGATATTTCATTTTGGGATTTAGCCTTTTGTCCTTCATCAATATCAATCACCATGTGAGGAAACTACAACTCAGCCTAGTTGTTGAAACATTGTTTACAATCAGACCACACTCAGAATCTCAGAAGGATTAATCTTACCTCTGCTGGTATGCTGAAGCCAAGAGGATAATCTGATTACTGGTGGATTTATTTGTGTTTATGAATTGAACCTGTTTGTGAGTTTCCATTTCATTTCCCAGCTGCTGTGTCAGAGATGACCAAGAGTTGTGACCCTGTGAGTCAAAGCAAGAAGGTAATTTACGATCAGTCACCTTCCTGAAAATTCCACAATGACTGCTCATTAGATGTTGATAACTGTAGAATGTAAACATTGTGGAGTACACAGCCATGTTCCAATATCACTGTCTCTTCTAGGGTTTAAAATTTCAAACTCTCCCAACAAGCCCTTACTTACCTGATAAGGCTGAGCATGTCAAGAATCATAGAATCCCTACAGTGCGGAAGCAGGCCTTTTAGCTAATTGAGTCCACACCAATCCTCCTACCCAGACCCACACCCCTACCCTATCCCTGTAACCCTGCATTTCCCATGGATAATCCACCTAGCCTACACATCTTTGGATAGTGGGATGAAACCAGAGCACCTAGAGGAATCCCACACAGACACAAGGAGAATATGCAATCTCCACACAGATAGTGGAATCAAACCCAGTCCCTGGGGCTGTGAGGAAGTGGTGTTAACCACTGAGCCACTTTTCCATGTCCCCCAGTTAAAATTCAGTGGCCCCTGATCAGGGATGTTCATCAGCACACACTAGCATAGAAATAACCCTGGTCCATCAAATGCTGTGAAGATTACAAAACTTGGACAGGCCATACAGCCCATCTAGTTTCCATATTTATTTTCCATAAAAGAAACATTGTAATCCCATGGATTCCCAATGTTCCTATATCAACATCTTCAATGACTTAAATTAAAGGCTCACATTTTTATAGCACTTTTTCAGGACATCAATTCTTCCTGAAGCACATTATAGTCAAGGAAGTACTTGAAACGTTGTCACTGTTGAGCACAGAAAAATCTCACAAACAGCAAAGTTTTATCATGAATGGATGATTGTAAATAGAGAAATAAGTATTGTCCAGGCCTTTAGGGAGAAATGCCCTGTTCTTCCCTAAAATAGTGGTCAATGTGGTTTTCATGTCCAGCTGAGCGGACAGGTAGGGCCTTAGTTTAACACCTTATTCAAAAGGTGATGCATGTGTCAGTGCAAGGTTTCCTCAGTATCACTCCTCCAATAGTGCAGTGCTTCCTCAGTGCCACCCTGATAGTGCAGTATGCCCTCAGTATCACCCCTCTTTCAGTACAGCTCACCCTTGGTACTACTGCTGTGACAATGCAACAGTCTCTCTCCGTACTTGCTCCTTTGACGCTGCAGCCAGCCTTCCCTCAGAATGCCCCTCCATATGAAAATGCACATTAAGAGCAGGAGTAGGCCATTCAGCCTGCGAGCTGATCTCATTGTAACCTCAAAGTTGCATTCTTACTCTTGATAAACTTTTGTCCTGTTGATTAACAATAATCTATCTACCTCTATTTTAAAAATATACAAGGAATCTGCCTGCAGCAATTTTCAGGAAGAGAGTTTCAAAGACTTGTTACCATCTGAGAGGAGGAAAATAATTCCTTTAACACTGTTTTAAATGGGTGATCCCTGGTTCTTGATTCTCCCATACAAGGAGACATCCCCTCCAAATGTACCCTAGCAATATTCCTCAGGATTTTATATGCTTCAATCAAGATGCCTCTTTATCTTCTAAACTCCAGCAGGTCCAGGCCCAGTCTCTCCAACCTTTCCTCATTAGACAGCATCTCCCCAACCTACCATCTCTGAACTGGGCCACAATGCTTCAGCCAGGTGACCAGTACTGTACCAGTACTCTCGATGTGGTCACCAGTGCCCTGTGTAACTGAAGCTTTCCTTATTATTTACTGGACCTGCACACTGACCTTTGTGATTCATGCACAAGGACACTCTCATCCCTTCACATCTTTTTGTCAGATTGTACTCTATTTACCACATCCTTGGCCCAATCATTTAAGCTATCTATACCCATTTTAGCCTTCTTCTGCCCTCTTCACAACTTACATTCCTGCCTATCTTTGTGCTTTCTCCAAATTTGCCAACCATATTTCTATCCCTTCATCTAAGTCATTTCGATCAATTGTGAACAACTGAAGTCCCAGCACCACCCCCTGTGGCAAACCTCACATTCTGTCTTGCTAACCTGAAAAAGATCTATTCATGCCTACTCTATCCTTCCTATTAGCCAGTCAATTTTTTATCCATGCCAATATGCTACTCCCCACCCCATAATATTTATTTTCCACAATAACTTTGGATGTAGCGGCTTATCAAATGCCTTTTGGAAATCAAAGTTCAGTCCCCCCACTGGTTCCCTATATCCACAGCATGTGGAAAGAACTCCAACAGATAGATCAAACATGATTTTCCTTTCACGAACCTATGTTGACTCTGTCTGATTACCCTGAATTATCCAAATGCCCTGTTATAACTTCTTTAATAATGGATTCAGCTAAAATTATCCCCCCAACAGATGATAAGCTAATTGGCCTGTAGTTTCCTGCTGTGTGTCTCCCTCCCTCTATGAATAAAAGAGTTACATTTGATGTCTTCCAATCTAATGGGACCTTTCCCAAATTCAAGCAGTTTTGGAAAATTAAAACCAATGCATCAATTATCTCATTAGCACTTCTCTTAAGCCCATAGGATGAAATGTATCAGGACCTGGGCACCTGTCAGCCTACAACTCCCCAATCATTTACTCATTACAACTTTTCTGATTATTGTGATTTTCCTGACTTCCTCCCTTTCTTCCATTTCCTGATTTGTCACTGCTTCTGGGATTTTCTTTGCATCTTCTGTAATGAAGACTGATCCAAAATACCTTGACAATTCATCTGCCATTTCCTTAATTTCCATTATTCATTCTCCAGTCTCACTTTCTACAAGACTGACGCTCACTTTTCATCTTTAAACATTTCTATAAACTCTTAATATGTGTTTTCATATTTTGAGATAGATTTTTCTTGTACTCAGTTTCCTTTCTATTAATTTTTTGGTCATTCTTTACTGTTGTTTAAATTGTTTGCAATCTTTTGACCTGTCATCTGTCTTTGCATAATTACATGCTTTTCTTTTAGTTTGAAATTCTCTTTATCATTTCTAGTTAACCATGGATGATGGATCCATTCCTTTGATTTTCCTATGCTCATCGAAATGTATCCATTCTGTATATTATGAAATATCCCCTTAAATATGTTTCGCTGTATCTCTATTAACTTGCCCTTTTACTTAATTTGCTAATTAACTTTAGCCGGCTCTGCTTTCGTGGCCCTCATAAGTCTCTTTGCTTAAATTTTTAAAAATAGTATCAGACTCAGTCCTCCCTCCCTCAAACTGAATGTGAAATTCAGTCATTTTATGGTCACTTCTATCTTGGAGTGCCTTCACTGATATGATTAAATTGCAATCTATCTCATTACACAATACCAAATCTAGTACAGCCTACTCTCTGGTTGGCTCTAGAACAGGCAGTTCTAAGAAACTATCCCAAAAACATTCTATGAGCTCCTCAACTAGATTATGTTTGCCCATATGACTTTCTAGATGATATTTAGATTAAAATCTACTGCTGGTTCCTTGATGTTTGTCATGTACATTTCTAATCTGGACTCAAACACAGGACTTTCATTCAGTAAGTTTGCAGATGACAGCATTTGGTAGTGTGATAAAATGCATGGAAGAAAGCCTTAGATTTCAGGATTACACAAAAGGGCCGATCAGATGGGCACAACAGTGGCGAATGGAATTTAATACTGAAAAATGTAACGTGATGCTTTTTGAGAGGGTTAACAAAGCAAGTGAGTACACATTGAATGGTAGGACCTTAGGAAATTTGATTTGATTTGATCTGATTTCTTGTCATGTGTACTTAAGTGCAGTGAAAAGCTTTGTTTGTCAGCAGTACAGGCAGATCATAGTAAACAAGGACATACAGATCATAGGGTGAAAAAATCTTAGACAGCGTGAGGCATACAGGTTACACCGCACAGGACGTGCATGAAGCAAGATCAACATTAACAAGATCAACATTATTTGAAGTTAGAGAGTCCATCATCAGTTTAATAACGGCAGGGAAGAAGCTGTTCTTGAACTTTTGGTGCATGCATTCAAGTTTCTGTATCTTCCGCCTGATGGAAGAAGTTGTGGGAGAGCATTACTGAGGTGGGATGGGTCTTTGATGATATTAGCAGCAAATGTAAATGGAGTCCATGGATGGGAGGTTGGCTTCCATGATGATCTGGCTGTGCACGCAACCTTCTGTAGTTTCTTACCGTCCTGGGCAGAGCAGTTGCTATACCAGGCTGTTAGGCACCTGAATATTATGCTTTCTGTGATTCATCTGTAAAAGGGTAAGGTTCCTTATGGACATACCAAACTTCCTATGCCACCTGAGGAAGAATAAGGTCAGAGAGACTTTGGTGTGCATAATCGTAAATCCTTGAAGGCAACAAGACAGGTGGATAAGACAGTTATGAATTCATATGGGACACTTGCCTTTATTAGCTGAGGCATTGAATTCAAGAGCAAGGAGGTTGTAATGGAACTGTACAAGACATTAGTTAGGCCAAAGCTGGAGTACAGTGTGCTGTGTGCTTGCAAAACTATAGGAAGGGTGCAATCTTGAGATACTTTGTACAGGTCCGCAAAGCTCATGTTAATGCATGAATCACCAGTATCTGATTGATTGTTCAATTTCATTAATGCTGTCTGTAGTGATGGCAACGAGATCAGCCAGGTGGACCTGAGAGAAGTTCCCTGATTGGGGATGTTAATCTGATCCAATTAGGGAGCCCTGGCTGACTGATAAGAAGAGAAGTATCAACATCCTGTTCTCGCCGAAAGCTGGCTCTGAGGGAGCTGGATCAGTGTCAAGGACTCTCCACGTGTAAATAAAGGGTAACATGGACATGAGATAGTGGCTGCTGTGGAGTTATTTCACTCTCCTTCTGCAGTCATCATTGCAACTGTCACAAATTATTTTTCTCTTTTAGACCTGATGATGTCAACTTGTTGTATGTACAGTGATTCATCAGAATCATTTGGTACCATCTCTCCAGTAGCCATCTTTTATAGGTTTGCTTTGCTTTTTTCTAGCTAAACACTCGTACACAAATTGATTCAGCTCTTGTAGCTGGAGCACTGCCTTCCCCTCATGGGACATGTTCCTTTTTTTTGGTAAGGTCTCCAACAATATTTACTGTCGTATTTATATCTTGTCCTTTGGCATTGTTCTTTCTACTGGTTCTGCTACAAGTATTTCTTCTTTTTTTAATATTACACCCAGGGAAGAGGGATGAATATCTCTATTCCTTTTGAACGCCTTTGGTAAGTCACAGCAAATGTTTTTAATTCTTCTAGTGTGCAGCTATATCACACTTCAATTAAAATATACTACTAATCAAAATTAAGTGCTAATTACAAGTTTTCCTTAAGTGAAAGCAGGAGGAATTTTATTCCTTACTATCACCAAGAAAAGTAATAAAATATGACATCAAACACATAAACAAAGACAAGTTTACAGTTTTAAAAGGAGAAGGTAATAGGAAGGTAACAAATGTTCAGTTTTTAAAAATTCTGAGAGTCCTTGAGTTTTGTTTTAAAGCTGAACCCACAACCTCAGCAGTATCATAAGTTGCAGAAACCTCCAGTTCTTGGTGAATAGATGTTACCTGTGCTGACGATTTAGATGTTTAGAAGGAAACTGGGAAAGTGAGCGAATCTTTCAGTCCTTGCTGTTACCGATGTCCTTCCTCTGCTCTGCTTGCCTGAAATTCACTTGTGAGTCCCCATGCCTGGCATTGTTGTCTTGTTCAAGCTGGATAATCACCAGGCAACTTTCACCCAAATATTTGAAACTTCCAGAATGATGTAAATCAAAGATAGGAGACAAGGGTTTCTTCACAGTTGGTTGGGTTTCGATACTTATTGATCAAATGATAAATTCAGCTGGGACCGTCTTTGCCTATTTTAAATTGGTTTCATGAACTTGGCTGAATCTGGTCAGATGATTACGGTAGCCACTTTAAGTTAGTGTTTCCTCCTTCTTTAAAAAATATGAAAGTTCATGAGAGTCTCGGATGTTACAATCAGATCTGGAAGTTGAAAATTAACAGTGTGTATTTTACAATGATTATGACATTTGTAATATGTTGTTCTTATTTTGCCTGGATTGCCTGTTGCCATAATGCAAAACCTTCTCTTGTCTCCTATTATCACAAATCAGCTGATCATTGGCAACTTCAGAGCTTCTGCATATGTTGCTGGCTTTCTTGAGAATAAGTTTGTCCTTTCTCATTAGATGTGCCCTCATGACTGGATGCCTATCCCTAAGACATTCTTATCTTGGAAGTTTTTCAGTTCTTCAAATTTAAATGATTTATCAGAGACTAATCAATGTTCTCCCTCTCTCAGAGCTCTGAAGTTGAACGCAAATTGTTTATGTGTAATATTGTTACAGTGTGTCTTTAAAGCACTTAAAATCTCTTCTCTAGGTTCCTTGCTCCTCAGTGAGGTCTAGGCTACACTACAGTTGGAGAAGTTTTTCTGGAACACTGATAACAAGTTTTATCAGTGTTATCACTGACGGTCTAGTGGTATTATCATTGGACTGTTATCCCAGAGACCCAGATAATGTGAGATAACAAGGTGTAGAGCTGGATGAACACAGCAGGCCAAGCAGCATCAGAGGAGCAGGAAGGCTGACGTTTCGGGCCTAGACCCTTCTTCAGAAAAAATTTCTTTCCTGCTCCTCTGATGCTGCTTGGCTTGCTGTGTTCATCCAGCTCTTTCCTGCTCCTCTGATGCTGCTTGGCCTGCTGTGTTCATCCAGCTCTACATCTTGTTATCTCAGATTCTCCAGCATCTGCAGTTCCTACTATCTCTGACCCAGATAATGTTCTAGGGACCTGGGTTTGAATCCTATCATGGCAGATGGTGGAATTTGAATTCAATAAAATATCTGCAATAAAGAGTCTAATGATGACCATGAAACCATTGTCAATTGTTGGAAAAACCCATCTGGATCACTAATGTCCTTTAGGGAAGGAAACTGCCATCCTTACCTGGTCTGGCCTACATGTGACTCCAGACCCACAGCAATGTGGTTGATTCTGAACTGCAATTAGGGATGGGCAATAAATACCTAGCCAGCGACACCCTCATCTGGTTAACGAATAAATAAAAGAAAAATTTAACCTGTCGCTATTTCAAAGTTTTCCCTATAATAAATACTAATTTTGTCTTATATTTCTGTCCATTTCTACAGCAGCAGAGAGTAGAAAATTCACAGCAAATCTGACCCACCCAACTCTTGAAAGTTACATAAATCAACACAATTCCAGTTGGCCATTTCTGACATCTTGTTTCAATAATGTGTTTAATGGCTTCCAAAACTAAAATGAAAGTGTTAACACAAGTTGGTTACAAGTGCAATTCAAGAAATACTGCAAATCTGAAACAAAGTCAGAGAAACCCGGAGATATTCAATCAGGCAGTAATCTTTGAAAGACTCTCAATCCATCAGTCAATATTTCGAGACTGTAGATCTCCACATGAGGAGTCTTGTTGACCTATTCATCAGCTCTTGTGTAGTTATTTTAGTTTGCTCTGTGTTACGTTTTATCACTCACAGTTCTATTATGAAACCTATTTTGAGCTGCCTTGTTTGATCTCACTGTCCCTCCAGTATCTGATCATTTGTATTGAATCGCTGAATCCAGGTCATTGATGTGAATTTGAAACTGTAGCAACTTTAGTAATGCCTCCTGCGATTCTGTGCTTGCCCCCACCTCCAACTGGACACAGCCCCTCTAGCCAATACTGACCTGTTTTTGCCTTTTACCTAATTTCATCCATTTCCAGCATTTATCCTGGATTCGCAGTTTTCAATTTAATTAACAGCCTTTCATTTGGAACTTTGTCAAAACTTTCTGGAAGTCAAAGATTGACTCTCAACTATTAATTTGAGAAGTGCCTTTGTACATTTTATAACATTAAAGGTGCAAAATAATGACAAGTTGTTGTTATTGCTCTGTCAAAACCTCAGGATAAGTCCTGATTGATTAGTGAAGCATGTGAATCTTTGGAATTCTTACTAGCTAAGGATGGATGCTCCATCAATGAATACATCCAAGACCGAGGTAGACAGATATATGGTCTCTCAGGAAATCAAGGAATATGGGCCAGAGTGGGAATTAGAGTTTAGGCAAATGATCAGCAATGATCATGTTGAATGGCAGAGCGGTCTCAAAGGAATGTATGGCTCTTGTTTCTTATGTTCTTAATGTTATCAGTTTACTTGTTACACACAGGGCATTATTCACTGCAGAAGTTGTGAAGCAGATTCTGAGCTTTACTTTTCCCTGCCCTTCCTATCAGAGTAACCTCTCCAAACAGCAGAAAAGATTTTAGCATTGTTATCAATCACTTTCATTTCTAAACACACTGACTGTGATTGCCCATTTAGTGCTGAGTTATCAATGCATTGACACTGTTGACTGATCTGTACTGCAAACCAGATTGCTGAACAAACACTTCAGATCCTGCAGTGAAGGGCTCTTTAGTTGTGGTGAGTAGTTGTTTGAATGAGTGTGGGACTATGTATGTGAGAGAGAGTGTAGTGAGTACATTGCTATACATGTGAAAGGCTGCAGTGAGTAATTGCTGTATGAGTGGGTGTGTTACTGTTTGAGTGTATGAATGCATGTTTGTGAGAGGCCCATAGTGAGTGCATTGCCATGTGTGTGTGTGACTGGTGATTATGTTATTGTTTGTTAGCGTGTGGGGGAGGCAGGTTTTGGTCACAGTGATGTGTTTCCCAATAGCAGATTGGCACGCGTGCAGGAACTCCATTCAGAGGTGAGATGGTTGACCAGGTGCAATAGTGAGGCAACCTATTAATTGGCCATGTGCACTCCTAGGCTTGGCCAATTGTATGGCGAGGCTGGGCAGAAAGTTACTCAACCCACCAGATGGTCACGGTCGAAGGTCTTGCTGCTACATTCAGACTGTACCTGGCCAGGCATCCACTCCTTGCAAGGCAGTGTTATCATTCACCCCGTGCGAGAGGAGGAACTTAAACTTCTGTCGCCCTTTCCCCACCTGACACACGTTGATACCCGGATCTTCAAAATCCCCTCCTGCAGTCATCTTTGACCTTCCCTCCACTGTCCTCAACTCTCCCTCCATCACTTTAATCTTTCTGTGATCCTCAAGCCACTGCTACCAGCCTAGAGCTGTCCACACCTATGCCCATTGAGTTTCTCTCCATCCTGGAACTGCCAATCATCATCCTCAACATTCCCCCTCTTGGCCTGCTATTGGTTACACTTCACTCTTCCCTTTATCAAGCCTGTGCTATCCTTGGTGGAGATTCACCTTCCCTCTATCATCCAGCCCTGCCTCCTACCCCATCGACAGCCCTTCTTAGGTCTGTTTTGATCTCCTTCCCTGCAGATGGAGGACATGCCCTTGACCTCCCTGGGTAGACATCACCTGCAATCAGTGCTAACCTCCTCTCCCCTCGTCGAATAAAGCTGCCCATGAACGTTAAGCGTCTTGCACCCGGTCTGAATCCAACAGTGAGATGACCTCACCTGCTGCTCATCACCCTTGGCCCGTTGTGAATCTTAAAAGACGCGTGTTTCTCGTTTGCAGTCTACTTAATCAGAAAGGTAAGAGAAAAAAGATCAGAAAGGTGCAGTTTAACCTTGTATTTTACTGAGTTTGCACAACGTGCTGATGCATTAACGGTAGGTTAATGCGCCGCCTGCTTACTGCTCGACTTTAATCCTGCAGTCTGCAAGCTGCCTCCCGTACAATTAACTGTTCACTGCCTTGATCCTTGGTCCCAGGAGCTTCAGTAAATTACACCATGTGTGGTGTGTCAGTGTGTGAACGATAGAGAGAGAGAGAGATCATGCAGCAGTGGAAGTGAAGGCAGGGAATTGAGAGAGAGAGAGAGAGAGAGACAGAGAGAGATGCAGCAACTTTGACAGATTAAGGCCTTATTTTAAGCCAGAGGGTGAGCTGGAAGGGTGCTGCAAGACACGAGTGACAACACTTCACCATTCATCCTGATCTTCGTGATCTGAAGCTTGGCTGATGTTAAACATTTATCAATCAATTGCCTCAGCTCAGGGAGAGTCACCTGGGTGGGAGATGTATGTCAAACAGCTGGAATTCAGGACCAAAAGAAATTCCCCAGACACAGGGGCAAGACGTTTTGAAGAGGGCTGTGTTTGAAATTATGGTGACCGAAGAGATGGGGGAAGCCAAGAGGCAGGAGCTTGCCTTAGGGTCTCAGAGGAGCAACCCTTCTCATCATAACCTCACAAAGGAAGGACATGAAATGTGTCAGAGATAGTAGGAACTGCAGATGCTGGAGAATCCGAGACAACAAGGTGCAGGGCTGGATGAACACAGCAGGCCAAGCAGCATCATAGGAGCAGAGAGGCTGACGTTTCGGGCCTAGACCCTTCATCAGAAAAGGGGGAGGGGAAGGGGGTTTTGAAATAAATAGGGAGAGAGTGGGAGGCGGATAGAAGAGGGATAGAGGAGAGGATAGGTGGAGAGGAAACAAACAGGTCGAAGAGGCGGGGATG